TCCAAGGTTTTCCACTCGACTGTCGCTGAAACCTTTTCTGCTCTGGAGCTGATCCGACCTTGTCGACAGCACGATGACGCTACTCGTGGCCTCGGATTACACCGTTCTACTACCGATGGTCACAAGTGTGGGTTATGTGCGGTGGCTCACGGTCCTTTTATCTAAGTTGGTTGTGAATGCGTTGTTTTTCTAAATAGATTTTCCGTGAAGATATTAGCATCCTACCGTTTTGGCGTTCCTCTCTTGACATTAATGATATAGATCACTTAAGAAGCGCCACGAATCTAAGGATGGCCCGAACTCTCCACCGTTCTGAAGAAAATTTGCTTTGTGACTCATTCATTTGAGCGCCGAATTGGCAATGAAATAGAAGCGAGCCCGAATCCCGGCCAAGATCACCCTGTCAGGAGAAAAGAAAGAAAAGAAAAGTATACAGCCGTTGGAATATCAGTCTTCCTTGCACTTTCATAATTGGGGACCACTGGTGACGGCGTTCTTTTCATGAATGCAGTGGTGGGGCGCTGATCGCCAATTTTCCATGCCATTAACCACGAGAGCCTGATTTTAAAGACAGAGTAGACAGCAAGTATATGGCAAGTATAGTGTGTAGTCTTCGGCTTCCTTTCTACAGAGTGATGTTCATTTTTCAATCTCGAAGGGAAGAAAGGCGAGGGAGCCGACCGGTGCTCGAACCCACGACCTCTTGGTTCTGAATCCGACGCTCTAATGGCTGTGCCATCCCGCTTTTACATAAATATAAAACATGCTGTGTCGTTTGTTTTTTTATTTATTTATAGCTTTGCTTTTTTCGCTAGGATTTTTATTCCTACCGATTTCTGTTTCAGGGTTTCCTAAACATTGTACTCAGTTCATACAGGATATGGTAATGTATTTAAATGGCTCATTATAGAACCTTATACGCCTGTGTATTAATGCATCTCGCTCATTTCTTTTCTAACATTGTGCAAATACTTTTAGGCTGCTGGCCAATTGTGCGATTCAGTGAGTCACAAAACCCTGTTTCATCTCATCAGCACGTTGAACGCCAGTTTCCCCGATTACGATTTCACGTCCGCGAAGGGCGAAAATTTTAGTAGAGTTCCCTCCGTTGTTGTACGTATAAATGTCTACACTTTCATATGTGATACACAGCAGCAAAACACTATTTTTGTAATATAGGTAATTCGAATATTGGTGCTCAGAGAAATGCATACTAAGTTTTAATGGGTGTCTGACATGTGTGTATGCAGTGAAGTATTATCAAATACTATCTCCAATGAAATCCTATTTCTTCGTAAAGCATTTCACCAGACCCCATGATTGGTGCTCGAGAAAAACCTACAGACCAGGCTTAGCCGCGTTCTCTTCAACCGCAAACGACG